CAGGGAATCTTTTCCCCCTAGAAGGATATGTATGAGTGATGAATGGGGTCAAAATAAAAGTGAAGGGAGTAGAACACCTGTATACTACACACACATAAATAGTCTCTTTCTCTTTCACACACCTCATATTCGGTATCTTTCTGTTGCACACACATGAAGGAGCGCTTACATCCATATATGCCCGACCGCCCCTTGAGATCTGCGGGAGAGGCCCTTCTCCGGGAACCCTCCGTGAAAGAAATTAGGGGGGTAGGTACTCGGAAGAGGGCTTTCTCTGCAGTGGCGCCCAATCTATGGAATGTGCTCCCCAGAGAGGTCTGCCTGGCGCCGTCGTTATTTGTTTTTCGGCGCCAGGTGAAGACCTTTTTATTATTTAAACGTCATTTTAATTGTTAACAATATTTACTTATTTATCTGGCCAGGGCGATTTCTTTTCTTTCATAACTTTTCTTTTATAACTTCTTTTATATCTTTTATATTTTTTATTTATTTTATATTGTTAACTTTAATTTTATATTGTTATTTTTGTATTGTATTGTATTTTATTGTGTTGTAAGCCGCCCCGAGGCTTCGGCAAGGGGCGGCATAGAAATGTTCTAATAAATAAATAAATAAATAAATAAATAAATAAAATGCACAAAACTTGGTTTTGTGTGCTGGACTGGGAACCTGGGAGATCTGGGTTCTAGTCCCTACTTGGCCATGAAGCTAGTTGGGTGACTTGGGGTCCGTTACTTACACTCAGCCTAACCCACCTCACAGGGTAGTTGTTGTGAGGATAAAATGGAGCAGAGGAGGATTATATAGGCCACCTTGGGCTTCTCAGAAGAGGAGAAAAGGTGGGATATCAATGCAATGTAAGAATTTACCTGAAGAGCAGTGTGCATAGATACTTTTGTTTCCTAGGAATACCAGAAACAAAATAAATTCTAAGGTTGATTTTAGATTTGTCTAGGATTTTATCAGTTCCTGCTACCCAATTTATGTTACATTTTGTTCTGTCTTTATTTTTCTAATTAATTTCATAGAAATGCAGCCCCAAAAGCAGAAAGTTTCCCTCAGAAAGGTAGAGCAATGGAAAATCACTGCTTCAAAGGTTTGTTTTTAATTTTAAAGCCAAACACAGCTTGAGACTCAGATCCTTTAGAGAACGTCTCCCACATCATCACCACATCAACTGGTGCTACAACTCCCACAGTCCCCAATAATTCCAGCCCTTGGACATGTTGGCTGGGGAATGATGGGCATTGTAGTCCAGCATAACTGGTAGCAGGTTTAAGAAGGCTGTCCTATATCAGCCTGCCCAGATGCTATCTACTTAGGCTAGAGGATGATCTAGAAATAAAATTATTATTAATAATAAAACTGAGATAGAGGGCCTTCTCCATTAATGACTAGTCTAGCCCTCTAAGTGCAGCTTAAGGCAAGTTACTTTATTTATATTTTATCAGATTTATATCCTGCCTTTTTGTTAATGTGAACCTAAAGCAGCTTACACAATTCTCCCCCTGCTTTTCTCAATCTTATCCCCACAACAGCCCTGTGAGGTGGGTTGGGCTGAGGGTCTGTGACTGGCCCAAAGTCACCCATTGGCTCCATGGCTGAGCCCAGATCTCCTGAGTCCCAGACCCATGCTCTTAACTACTGCAACACACTGGTTTTCATGGCAAATATAGGCAAGATAAATTCTTCTCTCTTTTCTCTCTCTCGGAGTTGCCTATTTGTAAAATGGATTATTAATGCTTACTGCACAATGGTTATAAAGTGTTTTGGATCAGTAGAACATATGACAGAAATGACAAGGAAATAATGCATACATTGGTATGGGTTGTTCTATAGAGACTGAAATTCTATATACTGTAGGGATTTGGAAACATGTACTTCTTCATTAAGTATTACCTGGGTTTTTATTTTGTTTTCAGTAGCAGTATTTATTTGTCCTGTGTAGGTGTCTTGTTTACCTTTTTTGTTGTGCAGGGTGCTGGGTACTGTAGATGGCTGCTATAATTAGAAGAAACTTCCTGTTCCAGAGTATTTACAGATGCGTACTCTTCTTTTCCCCATGTTGGTGTATTTCTGTAGCATTACCAAAAACACCTTAACTGGATGATAATAATAATAAAAGAATCATACGCTCTTATGACTCCTGACTTAACTGCTGTTTTCTGAATGCTAATCCATTGGCAGCACACCAATGTTTTATGGTGTTTACTGAATTATGGTGGGAGGCAGAGAGCAATGAACTCATTCACCCCAGGCCTCTGAACCTTAAGAGAGGCCATGCTTGCTGCTGCATCCCTTCATGGCAACCAGCTTTAACAGCCTCCTGCGCTACCGAAACTCCGGGAGAGGGAAAGAGCAGAGATCAAACTGATCAGATAGCCGAATGTCATGTCTGCCCTTCCTAAGAGCTGGGTTGCAAGGAAACCTTGTAATGTCAGCTGACAGGGAGGCAGTATTCAGAACACGGGTCTGGGGCCTTGGGCTGATAAAGTTGAAGAGCAGCAGAAACATTTGGGAGCTGGAGTTGTAACCTGCCTGAGATGCTTTTGTAACATGTCTCCCCCCTGATATGTTTTCACATACATGTTTATATATGTGCAACCTGAAGGGAAGCACACTGTGGCCCGGTCCACCTGCCAGTGTCTAAGGCCCCCTCAGCCTCCCAGGCAGGACAGCGCCACAAGGAGCACCCCGTCTGGCCCGTTCCTCCCTCCCTCCCTGGCAGAAAGAACCCTCGGCTCCAACAGCCGGCCGCCATTTGAAGGGACACACGCCGTGGCCCATCCCACGGCTGGAGGAATAAGGGGCGTGTGTGCCCTGGGGGGGGTGAAGTGAGGAGGGATCCCACCTGCCCCTTCATCCCACCACTTGTGAAAGGGCATCAGAGATGTGAGCACGGCTTATTTGGGCACTGTAATGTGATGTTTCATGGGAACAGGAAGTCTGGGGGGGGGTACTTCCTGTCCCTGGGCAGCAGGGTAATCTGGTGCCTAGCACTGGATTTCTGTCTCGGCTGATAAAGTGTCACAGGTTTGGGCCCACCACTCTTCTAAGGGTGTTCTCTTTGGGGAAGAAAACTGTGTGAAAGAATTTATGCTCTCATTAATCTTGAGACAGATACTATCACAGAAAGCTGTCATTAGACCATGCAGCCTGCATTTGGAAGATAGCGGTTAGTATCTGACCATATTATGACTGGCCTGTTTTTAATAATCATCAATCAAATTGATTGGTGAAGTGGGGATTAACTTGTCATACTGTTTCAATTGTTGCACTTAGACAATGTAGACCTGGTTCAAATTGCTTCTCAGCTTTCATCATCATCATCATCAACATCTCTGTCTCTGTCTATACCACCCAATAACTAAAATTCTGTAGGGGGTTTACAGAGGTTCCTGATACAACTCTGTAAACATTTTCCATAAGTAAAAACAAACAAACAAAACAAAACAAATTTAAAACCGCTAAAACAATATATGACATAGGGTAGGCATGTTGAACACCTGAGATGGGTGGTCACCTTAAGCCCCTAAGTACATTTTTTAATTCTTTAGCATGGGCTGCTGTCTACATCTGGTGTCTAGAGGATGATAAGGTTGGCACCTGGTGGACCTTAGTGTGGAGGTAAATACATAATTGGGGGCCACCAATGACAAGTCCTCCCCCCCCCCCCCCCGTTGCTGCCCTCCAAGCCTCCCTTGGAGCCAGCACTCAAAGGAAGGCCTTGGATGTTGACTGCAGTGCCCAAGCAAAGTGTGGGTGGGAGATGCACTCGATCAACTATTGTTATCCCAAGCAGCGTAAGGCTTTATATGTTAAAACCAGCACCCTGAATGGGGCTTGGAAGTGTTTAGGTAGCCAATGCAAGTGGGCCAGAACTGGCCTTAAATGTTCAGATTTACTGATCCGGTTGTTAGTCTGACTGCTGCATTTTGCGCAAGCTGCAGTTTCTGAACAGTATACAAATGTGTCGTAATCTAATTTAGAGATTGCAAAAGTGCTGACTCCTGAAGCACTCTGTGTGGCCTGTACTAGGAACAGTCTACCTCACAATACTGTGAGGATAAAAGGATGGGATCATGTGTGGATAGGATAGGAAACCGCCACCCCCTTGCCAACCTAGTGCTCTCTAAATTTTTTGAGCTAGAACTCCCTTCAGCCCCAGGGTCAATGAAGGTCATAGTCTAAAATGTATCAAGGGGTTGGGGAAGCTGATATTTTCCAGTCTAAACTATTTTTTAAAGGAAGTACAGATAGTGAAAAAGGAATTAATTTGAGTCCTCTAAATGCTAATACAACCTTTGTATGTCTCTGTATCAATGAAAAAGTTCCATTAAAGGGAAAGTTGGCTGACACCATCTTTAATTTGTAGCCCTATTGTCAATTACCTTTATATTTTTTTAATCCAAAAAATAGGCTGTCGAAATGGCTTCCTGCCCTTGAAAGGGAAACTGCACCATCCAAGATTTGCCATGCAGTTTAATGACAGTCCCTTTCCATGTCACCAAGCTCCTCACCCATCATAAAGGGTATGCAGAGAGATGTTGCTCTTAAAGTAGTAAAGAAATATCTCAGGTGGAAAAGTCCTGCATCTAAACTCTCACACACCTGACTTATGTTTGAACTGTTTGGGCCAGAACTGTCTCTTCCAATTTCATCGAAGGCTTAGCCTAATATCGTTACACTGACCATTTTTAAGCTCACATTCGCAATGCCCAAACCCATGGATTATTAATTCACCACAGTATTGCCATTTTTGTGTGTTTTTGAATAACAGTGCCTTGCAGGCTTTTGCAACAGGAAGTAAAAAAAAACCACACACACAGAAGCCACTGGAAACTTTTCCATTGCTGATAGAACTACCTTAAAAAAAACTCACAGAGAGACTCTTATCAAAGCCTTTGCCTAGTAGCTGAAAGCTGAAGTGATGACAGCAGATAAGGGTGTTAGCCTTTGAAGCTCATTGGCTTTGATTGTGGTTTTTTTCCTTCTGCAAGTCAGTCATTTGGAGATAGAGACCACATATTTCTTGAACTCGGACACCCTTAGTGAGGCTGGGGAAACAGAAGAAAAGGATTTAGAGGGCTAAAAAATGTCCTTCCGGCCGAAACATCTTCCAGGCTATTCCTGTTGACCTCTTCTATCGTATCCGTACCATTGTAGGATTAGGCTCATATTCCTGGCGACCTTTCTTCACCTTGAGGAAAAGCGAGGCAAAACAAAAGAAAACTTGAAGCATTAACTTGCCCCTGCCCCCTCGACGCGTTGGGATGGCAAGAAAAATGCACCGTCACGCATGGTGAGCTTCAAGCAGTTATGGCTGATTCGGCAGTGCAGGATTATATTGTAAACCATTGTATTTGTAACTTGAGGAGAAAGGACATCTGTGGCTGAAGGAGGGATTCCTGTTCAAGCTGCCACTCATCGTGCTGGTACACCTTAATGCCATAGCTTAGGCAGATCTTTCTTGTTTCCAGCCAGGTGGGAATAGCTGAAGAAGTGAGTGTGTGTGTATTTTTCCACAACACCTTAGGCAGCAGATCTCTGGATTCCGTTTCCTCTCTGGGGTACATTGTGAAGAAGGAGCTGCCTTGAAGCTTAGTGCACGCTGAGCTCAACTGAGCCAAATGCAATTTGGAAAGCAGCCGTTTTGCACTTCAGAAGAAGAGAAGGACCTGAAACTTAATAAATGTGATAACATAGCTGTAATTTAGAAGCACTTTCAACTCTGGAATTTGCAGCGAAGAGTAGCGAGGACCATCTCCAGTTTTTTATTTCCTCTTGCCCTCTGGCTTCTTGAATATGGGTTAATGACAGTCAGTCATGGTGGTCACCCAGCTGAAATTGAAGTTGCGCTTCCAGGGAAAGAAACTGAGAGGTTTCACCTGTAAGTTCATCAGATCAGCCAGCGGATTCCCTCCAGAATCATCTTTCTCCATTGCATCAGAAATTGTTGGGCCGTTTGCCATGGCAGGTACAGGCCTGGTGGCTGCTGGCATGTTGATGAATATTGTTCAAGTATGTATGTTCTTTCAAGTAGCTTGGTAACAAGAGGGGTAGATGGCTAGTCTGCCAGGGTGCCTTTGAGTGTCCTTTTTTAAAATGGCCATCCCCTAGCTGGGAGTAGGATGTTTCCTGCCCGTGGGGAAGATGTCTTCTGTGAGTTGGGCCAAGCCATGCAGAGGGTCCACTGGACAGACTGTCCTAGAGAAAAGAGTTCACATTCTTTTTCAAGGCATGCTGTTGTGTCTAACTGCCCTGAAGCCCAGACACCGCATAGGAGAGCACCCTAAGGATTTGTAGAAGAGTAGCTGGCTGGGGCCCACAGGAATCTGTGGGAGAAGGAGATCAAGTTTTTGGGGAAATGTCACAGTAACCTAAGACTACTGCACGCTGAGATGACCAAGAGGCTACACAGCTGACCGTAAACCTGAGAGTTGTTTTTACTTCTCCCCTTCACTGTGTTTGGGAGACTTGGGGAAGCATCCAAACCCTGTCCCTCTTTCCTTCCATCCTTCTTTTAGGGGCACAAGCTGGCTAATAGTCCACTTTTGTTTCTGTTTTATGTTTTTCCAACTGACATTCAAATGACCTTAAACCTTTCATGATTCCTACACAGTATTGAACTTCACTGTCCTCCCTCCCTCCCTCATTTTCTCTGTCTCTCTCTCACACACACACTAATGTAGTAATATTTCCCCCAGTGTGTCTGGGGAGTCTCCTGAGTAGGGAGAAGTTCATGTGTTCACTGCTCTATCATGTCCCATGGCAATCCTTCCCATGTATATAGCTGTATTCACACCAGGCAAGATCACTCCCTTTCCACCCAGCCTCATGCTTAAGCACCTGGGAGTAAGTCCCGCTGATCACAAAGGGACTTTCTTCATAGGTTTGTACTGTTGAACTTGAAAATCACTCTTTTCCTTGCAGCACCAGACTAGAAAGTGGGACTAATTCCAGTAATTTCAACTCCTCATATATATATGTATTCATTTGGGATGCACATTTTTCCCTCTCTCTGTCATTATCTGATCCTGATAGGAATGGATCCAAGTGGAGTTTTCAGTTGTGGCATAATACTAATGAAAATCCTGAAGAAAATCTCGGTTAACTAAGAATACTCAAATAAGGAATGGAAAGAAAGTGTGCCCCATTTATCTCTGGCAGCTGGGTCCTCACCACTTTTCCTGCCATGCTTTCCCTCTTCTCCCTTGGATGTTTCAAACTGTATGCCACAAAAACTACATCACACTTCTGTGCTCCATGTTAATTAATCTAGAATAATCATGTCCTGCATGAAAAAAATCCCAAGATTGTCATAACTGACCAGAAGGCAGTGCAAGCAAAATCTGTGACAATGCAAGGTGTGTGTCATGTCCATTCAACAAAAGTGCAGCCTGTGTGTGTCACCACTTTTATGACAAAAACAGTGTCACGAGGAAAGCAAAATTATGAGGTGCAGACAAAGAAGGAATGAGTAACTCTTGGCTCGAGGTTGAAATGAAAGCAGAGGTCACTGAGCTGACTTGTGCAAGTTGGTAACGCTATTGTAAATTCAGAATTCATTTTTAAAATTTGTGCTATCAACTTTATGGCTGAATTTTATTCAATAAAAAAAACCTGGAGGATGGTTACATTACCTGTTGTGTTGTCCCTACAACCCTTTCTAATCTAGTTTATGCAGTTAGCAACATGATTTTCAAAGCACCATTTCTCAGCCTCAGTTGCAAGCCATCCAGCTCATTCTGAACATCTGCAGTAAGAATAAGCCACTGCAAGAGGTCTGGGGGTCATTTTCACCACCATCTCCTTGCACATTGCACTGGGAAGGAAAACAAAACAAAAATTAGAATAAAAATTGCTGATTTGCTGCAAAGAATATTGCACTATAAAAATTAAATTTAGCTTGTCTGCAGACTCAACATTGGAGCACTTTTAGTGTGGCACAGCTGCTATAAAGATGTTTTCCTTCTTTAAAAGTTTTTTTCTAAAAGGAATTGTGATAGCAGAGACCACAGGTGGCTGCAGGCCATGGGTGGCTCACCCACGATCCAGAAAGTTGGAGCTGAGCTTTGACTACCACTGCAAATATCCATTCACTCAGAGTATGTTGTATCTTTACTATGTCCCTTTCTTTCACATTCTACTACTTTGTAGTAATGTATCATTCTTCAATTCTTCCACTTGTTTCTTTCAGCATATCTCTTGCCCTTTTAGATTATAAATAGCTTAATGTTCAGAAGCTGTAGTAGTCAATAGATCTTAATGATTCATGGCAAAATTTGGGCAAATGTTGGTCATGTGGATGCCAGGCAGAAACTCAACATGGTTGAATCAGGTTGGAGAAAAAGACCTAGGTCACCATAAACATGCTCTTTCTTTTGCAGCAGAGCTTGGCTTCTTTCTGAATTTTGTGAACATGTTTTGTTTTAATCAGATTGTGCTTTCTCATTTCTTTTCAGGATATACTAAAACATACCTTGTTTAATATTATGAAGTATCATTCCTCTCTTGCTCATGTTAATTTCTTTAGGGTACAATCTTAGACATATTGAGACTAGGAAAAGAGCCTACCCCCCCCCAAAAAAAACAGGGATTGAGGCAGGGCAATCAGGATAATTTGGACAGAAAAGTATACATATGCAATCTATATACTTGTCTCTCCAAACTTTTTTTACCCTTCCTAAATCCCTGTTTTCAAGAAAAGACCAACTTCTGACAGTTGTCAAAGACTTTTCCACTTTCCTGAGCACCTACAGTCTTAGCAGTGAGTAGAAAAGTTTGGGTCTCTAGGAGCTATGGGGGTGAGAAGCATTCAGAACCCTGAGGATCTCACTGTGAGGAGGAGGGGGAGTGCCTGACTCCTTTCATGAGTAAAGATCACTAGCATCTTTGCTCTGAAGACAGATCACTCTTTTACAGCTGTCAAGACAAAGCTGTTTGGCCCCTCCTTGGATCAATGTCCAGGATTGTCATGTGGGTTTGCCAGAAAAAGTAGAACTGGAAAAATTTCCAATGCTCTAAATAATTTTAGCTGATTTTACATGTTTTTTTGACTCTTTTTACTCCCCAGTACCCATTCTCCCATTCTCCCACAATGACTACACAGAATATCTCATATTTAGTAAACAGGACTAAACATGGTAGGCATGTCATAAGCGGAGCCGGCTGGAGCCAGGGGTCAGACTAGATTGTCCAGGAGACCCCTTCTGATTCGTTCTGTTTCTATGTCAATTTTGTGTGCACTATAAATATATCAGACTTTTCCCAATAGTGGCAAAATAGTTAAACTGAAGTATTACTTAAGGGGAAATTAAATTATTTATACAGTATAGTTTAAATGTTCTATTCAATCACATGTTAAGCTTTATGCAGAAATTATTTTACTGGAATACATGAAGAAATGTTATGACAAAAGTATACGCTTCCTTATGGTGTTTGATGATATTTAACAAAAAAAGTGTATACCGGAAAGGACACCCCATTTTTACTCAAAGAGAGCTCATATATCCTGATTTTCTTTTGCTGTAGCACCTCCAACTTCCCTCACTCTCTGTGCTGCTTATCAGTCCCATTTCAAGTTTATTATTCATTCATTCATTATATTTATATTCCACCTTTTGTCCTAAGCAACTCAAGGTGGCGTACATAGTTCTCCTTCTCCTTGACTTATCCTCACAACAACAACAACACTTTGAGGTAGGTTGAGCTGGGAGTCTGTGCCTGGCACAAAGTGAGCTCCATGGCTGAGTGAGGATAGAACCCAGACTGCCTGAGTTCCAGTGCTGTGCTCTGAACCACTGCACCACGCTGGCTCTCAGTTGAGAAAATCTGTGTCCGAACTACTAGCTGAATGTCCTGTTTCACCAAAGGATGGATGTGGGGGTGTGAGCACAGGCTGGGGGAGTTGGACCGGGGATGCTGTTGCACCCTTGTCCCACTTGTGGGATCCTGTGGACAACTGGAACAACTTGCTGGACTGGGTCTGGCACGGCTCTGACATTCTCCAGTGAAACACGCAGTAGTCCGTTTCCGTTTGTAATGGGAGAACGTGCGCAACGGAGGGCAAATACTCCGTGCGTAAGTCTCGCCCAGAGCCAGCCAGGAGCCAGCTGCATTGTGCCCAGGAAGGGGTGGCCTTACCTGGTTTGCCAGTTCCCTCCTGGGCAGCCAGGCACTGGGGTTTGCCCGCACTTGCCTTGGAAGAATAACTTACAGAAGTCCGTATGCTAAATTTAGCCCATGGAATGCATTTGATTACTGTGCAACAGCCCAGCAACTATGGATAACTGCAGACATATATGGTGTGGAAATTTTTGCGTGGAAAATATAACATAAGAAAAGTTTCCACTTTGGAAGTTTTTCTTCTGCCTCGCGTCAGTGTTGCTACCTGCTGCACTTTGAGAGCAAGTTCTTCCAAGGACTTTGCCCAGGTGAAGTTTCCATTTTGGGTCTATGGAAGTGTGTACCTCCATACTTGTGAAAGCCTGACTAGATTATTTTTTAATGTGCACATTTTGAATACTTTTTTTAAAAGGCAGGTGGCCAGCAGTGTGCTGCCTGGGCACTTTGGAGGGGCTGAATCTGGCCATGGTGCAGGTGAGATCGCCAGGTGTGGAAAGGAGATTTTTGACACTCTTGCCAAGCGCCTCATTTGCAGCTTCCCTTTATTCACTTACAGGGTTAGTTAGTCAGGTTCAGACAACACAACAACCCATCAAGGGCAAAGCGACCCCTAGAACAGCCCATAGACTCCCAGAGTGCCTTGCTGCAGGGTGGGAAGGGGCAGGCTATGGAAAGCAGGCTGGGTGTGGCCACCATGGTTAGTCTCCCATGATGGGTCGGTCAGTCATGTGAATGTCACTGAAGTCTGGGGCTGGTTCTGCGCTGCGGGGTAGGAGCCCCATGCAGGAGCCCCCCCTTCTCAACGGAAGGGACTGGGGGTGGCATCACATGCCTGCTTCTGCGGAATCCTCCGAGTGTATCAGCAGGCTGATCTCTTCCACAGCAGAACACCAGCATATGTTGTGGCAGCCTGGTCACGTTGCGCGTTCCCAAGAGCGACCAGCCAGACCTCCCGGAGGCGTCTGCTGTGCTCTTGCTTGCTGGCAGCCTGCGGGAGCCAGGCTGGTCTTCCCCTTAAGTCCCTACAGAGAGAAGGGGGAAAGTCCGTGTGTGTGTCTGCGGGATGGGGGTAGGTGGAAAATTGCCCTCAGACCTTTAGGTGAACTAGAAATAAGAAGAACTGGAGAAGAGAAATAGGGAGAAGGAAGATGGATGAGCATGGGATGGGGAGGGGAAGGAAGAGAAGGAAGAAAGGTAAGTGTGGGGTACTTGGAGGGAGAATGGTTAGCAGAGGGATAAATTGAAGGGAGGAAAGTAGACAAATGGGAGGGGATAGATAAATTAGCAAGAAGAAACCCAGTGACCGAAGACGAACATTAGGGAGGAAGGCAAGTACAAATCACAAGAGGATGAGTGCAGGAGACCAGAAATGAGCGTGGGGTTATAAGTATAAGAAAGGAAAAGGCTTTTCTTCCTCTGCTCTTGCTGCAGGCACTCGCAAATGTACATATTTGTAAACCTCTAATTCTAAATTTGCTTCGCTTTATATTGTCATCTGATATATTTCCAAGGGCCATTCTCTAGAACCAGGAGAAGGCAACCCAGATATTTTAGACTAGAACTCCCTTCATCCCTGGTCATTGGCCTTGTTGAGGCTGATGGGAGTTGAGGTCCAAAATATTGGAGGGCATCAGGTTACGTTGAGTGGAGCTAGAGCAGCCTTCCCCCACCTGGTGCCTCTCAGATGTTTTGGACTACAGCTCCCAGCATTCCTGACCATTGTTCATGTTTCCTAGAGCTGATGGGAGCTGAAATCCAGAATACCTGATGGGTTGGAGTTGCAGAAGGCATATGCAGACTGGCATATTTCAGTGCTGTTAGCAATGTGCAAAATTTTCATCATTCCATTTCTGTTCCAAACTGCAAGTCCACTGCCCAAGTGACCTCCAGTATAACTCCCAGGTACCTTTTGAAACTTAGGACTACTTCTTCAATAAGTTTGGGCAGCTGGTTTTAAATGCAGACATGAACCTTGGTCTAGTAGTCATTCTCACCTGAAATATGTCCCCCTAGAACAATTTCTTAAGTTGGGTGGGAATATGTGAACAGTAAGGGATGTCTTTCATGGGAGCATATGAAAGTAAAGGTTATATTATAAAAGAAAGGATAGAATAAATTATATTTGAAATACCTTTAGTTCATTACTATCACTTTCTTCAAAGTTGAATACCAAGGACCTTCACAATCCTTCTCCTTTAATTCCTGAAAACTTCTGAAGAACTTTCTGCATAAAAACACACTTATATGGACTCAGATGAACCCTTTCTGTTTGGACTGGCAAAGGATCTCATGGGTCCAAGGAGAAAATCTTTGACTCTTACTTTCTTTAGTCAAACAGAGATTGTTCTCACTCCTTTAAGGTGCACAATGAAGGAGCATTAGGAACTTCTAATTACTTTTGTTTCCCACGACAATTTTTCCAAAGGGTTACTAAATAGTAAACGGGAAGGTGGAGTGCATAATGTTGTTGGCACTATCCAGTAGGTTCCCATGGCCCAAATACAACTTCATGCCATAATGGAGAATTCTGTGCTAACAGGTAAATCTGTGTGCCTCTGAACCAAGAAGCGGCAGCAGGTTCTGGTCAGTTAGACCATGGATTGACATTCTCTCTCATTTCCTCTCAGCACTGGAAAGTGTTTCAGACAATCACAGAAATATTCATCTTGATTCCAGCCCTGGTTGGCTTGAAGGGCAATCTGGAAATGACCTTGGCATCCAGACTTTCGACTGCTGTAAGTCTCATCCTTGTGTTTTTAGTATGTTGTGATGTTTTGCAGCTTGTATTCAGCAAGGAAAGTTCTGAGATTTAATCAAGAGTCTTCTCAATTGCCCATGAAAATAGATTGCATTTACTTGTTATTTATATCAAGTAAACAAATTACTTGATATAAATTTTGTTAGATCATATCAACATAATGAGTAGAATAGTGCTTATCTCCATGTTTACACAGGTGGATATGAGCCCTTGCTACAAAGAGGGTTTATCCCCTGTTAGTCTAGTCAGCTGTTTATTTATATTTACAGGGTGTTGGACTCAATAGATCTTTTGATCCGGTCCAGCAGAGCTGGTGTTTCATTTTTCTCAAATACCTGCTATTGCAAGCGCTTTTTTAGGCCTACCAAAACACCCAAATACTGCATATTTCTGGATACTCCAGTGTTGTTGATATATAAAAGAAAGATGGTTTTCTTCTAGGAGCAGCTCAGATGTCCTGACAGCAAATAGATCCATGTTTTGAAGGCAAGAGTGTGGAATTTGCACAGGCTGCGGTTTGTAGCTGCAGTTTGTCTATGCCAGGGTGTACATGGTCTGGGCCATGGTCCTCGGCAGTCTGGCTCCATTTATCTATTTGTATCCTGTCCATGAATCTGACAAGAGGAAAAGAAGAACTATACCCTGCAGGGATGAATACAGGAAATCCCAGTGAATCAGAAGGGTTGGGAACAGTGAGCAGCACCCACCGTATCGCTGGCAAAGTGCAGGTGTATCCCTGCTGTGGCAGGTGCTTTTTCTTCCCATACCTGTCACTTAAGTTTAAACGTCGTGTAAATTTAAATCTTCTGCCTTCTAGGCTAATACTGGACGGATGGATGATACGCAGGAACAGTGGAAAATGGTTACCTGTAATTTGGCCTTGATTCAGGTGAGCAAACCTAGACTTTTGCTTGAGGATTCTTGAGATGATTAATGAGATTATCCCCAAAGTAATTCCCATGGATGGTTTAGCCAGAGTAACCTCAAGGCTAAGAGTACTTACTAATTGTTTCCTTTTAGAAGTATATTTTATATTCATTGCTTGAAGCCTCATTTTTCCTGCATAAAAGTTCTTCAACAAAATTCAAGAACTACAGGAAGAAGTCTTTATAGCTAGGCTTGTGTCAGGGTTTCCCTCTAACTATGCATCTCACAGTTTACTGAGAACTAATTCCCAGCAAACTGAATAGGCCTTACCCCTAAAATGAATGCCTCTGATGGCTCAAATACCATCACATTTTGTTTAGTTTGGAATTTCAGCATTTGTTGGATGTTTTCCGTATTATCTGAGATTTTTGAAATGTCTTCGATAGCTGGCTATGCCCCTGTAGGAACTCATTGGCATCCCTATTCTGTATGCTACAGGCAGTCAGCATGTATCTAGAAAGAGAGTTTGGATTTTACCTCTCCAAAAAGCAAATGCCCATTTAATTAGGTTGTTGACTACAAGGGTTTACCAATTACAATGTTAACTGTCCTTGTTCAGTTATGTCTGCCGATTTTCATATGCACAGTTGTAAAACAGTTAAGATTCCAGTCCTAAACATATTGCAAGATGTCCTGTTGGATTTTGGAAGCATCCTTGCACAAACCATGCTCGGCACTGATTTGGTCATGTTCCTATCGCTTAAAGAAATGTCTTTACGGTGCTTGTTTAAAGGACAAATTGTTCTGAGTTTTTTCCCTCAAGAAAAGCTGTCACCTGTACTTAACTGTTTTAAAATCGGCTGAACAGAGCTATTAGTTAGTCAGGAAATGGGGTGAGCTGTTTAAAGAAGGCAAGTCATTACCTCAAATAAAGTTAGAATGCGACTAATTTTATAGGAGCAATCTCTACTGGTAAAGAAAAATCCAAACATTTGTTACTCAAAACTTTTAATCGGACAGAGTTGTACCCTACCTGTGTAAGCAGCTGGTTTGGGGTGTTTCTTTAACAAAGAAATGCCTGTACTAAGACATTCCAAGCCCCTTAAACAGCCCCAATAAAACGGGCATATCTTCAGTGCAAGTTTAAGCTAGTTCAACAGTTATCTTCTCGTCTCATGAAAACGTGAGCGTTGTAGTTCTGTGAAGAGGGACAGAAATCTCCAACAGAGAAAGCACCTTACCCAGTTGCAGTTCCCCAGATTCTTTCTTGGGGAGGGGAGGGGTCACAACACTTAATGCGCTATAAAATGGAAGTGTTTGTTCAGCAGATAAATCACATAGTGCAGCTCATGTCGTACAATAACGTGGAGTGTCTGTTTCCAACCAGCAGAGGGCAGCAGTGTGCTTTTGTGGACAACCGCATGGAACCTGACTTTTAATAGCACCCTGAATGCTACTGAGGCGACGTATTATAGTCTGGGAGTTTTCATGGCTCAGTCCTTGCTCATTGTTTGAAACCCCGCAAGGAGAAAAGTAGCTTTGTGTATGTCAGGGACAAAGAGATTGAGTCGGAGTGGGAAAACAGTTCTCGGTCTGGGTTGCGCACACAGCTGCACAGACACTGCTGCTCCTGTACTCAGCAGGCCTCATTTTACTTGAAACTGCCTTTTTTTTTCTTTTAAAAGCCCCCCTGGGGCATCCTGACATTCTGTGGAAAGCGTTGCTTATCTCTGTGCGCCTACCTAGACCAGGATTGCTTGCAGGCTGATGCCAGCCTATGATCCCCTGCAGCTTTCTGACCTCCTCCCCTGTTCTTGCTCCACAGGCACAGGCCACGGTGATGGGGCTCCTGGCGGCAGTAGTGGCAATCCTTCTAGGCGCCTTGTCCAAGGGCTACGTGGAGCTGAACGAAGCGGCCGTCTTGTGTGCCAGCAGCTTGACAACGGCGTTCGTCGCTGCTCTCTCACTTGGTGAGTCTTTCCAAGCTCCCTTCACTTCCCAGACCCAGCTGGGCCCAGTCTGTCAGTGCTTCCGAAAGTGCGCTTCTCTTCCTTTATGCAAACACCTCTCTCCTTCCCTCTGGTAGTTATGCGGCCACGAATGTCAAAATCCACCTGCAGGTCCTTTGGCTGCTCTAAGAAGGAAGGGTCCTGGAACTTGGATCGCATCTTCAGCTACCAGAAGGCACCACAACACACCCCTGTGCACACATATGTACTGAAACACCCCCAGTTGTGTCAGACCATCTAGCCCGTGGGCGCAGAACCTCAGACCTGGAGCCAGATGTGGCCCTCTGTAGGTCCACAAATGGCCACGCTCCCTTTCACTGAATTTCCTGTTCTGCCCATTGTTTGGTGCTTTCCTGGCTTCTGGGCAGTTTGTCTCCCATTCTGAAAGCTGGAAATGCCATGAAGTGCTGCTTAGTTACTAGGAGAAAGAGCTTTAAGCTGAAATATGCTGGCATTTCCCCCCACACCTCTTCCCTTTGGGCTCATCCATCACTGGAATGCAGCCCTTGTAAGCTTTGCTGAAACTGAATTTGGCCCTCGGGTTTAGCTCAATATTGTCTTCATGGACCATCAGTGGCTCCCTAGGGTTTTAGGCAGGGGTCTTTCCCAGTTCTGCCTGGAGATGCTGGGTGTTGTACTTGCAATCTTTTCCATGCCAACAGGTCCTCTCAGCTGCAGCCCTTTCCCTTGGTGTGAATGTTAACTGTACACCACTTTGGGAAGCAGTTTTGGCTGAAAAATGGGATATCAATCAATCCATCAATTGATCAATCAATTGTTCGATGGAATATCTTGGAAGCTTTGGGCTGTGACTTTAAGTTCCCCAGGCCAGGGTCTCTCTAAAAGAGACACAGCTGTGTTTGGTGGTGCTGGAACATCCATTTCAACTTTGGCTGTGAGAAACAAAGTACAACCTCTGAAAGCATATGCAGGTATTTTTAGAATGCCTGTTACTGTTCTGGTATTGTTAATGCAACTATATAGGTTAAAATGGTCACAAAATAATAGGAAAGAAGACACAAGTTGAAGAGGCAAATTCTAAAAGAATGCTGGGTTTCTGTGGGAGACTGTCTATAATGGCACTCGACTCCGATGAGCTTTTGCTCTCTTTGCAAAACCAGTGAGCTCAGATGTTGCTTTAACCACATGTTTTAAGACATTTGTAGACCTCTATGGTTAAAAACAATAAACACAGAGACACAAACTTTTGCTTCAAGTCCCTTAGGTTTAAGGCTCCTAGCTTTGGGTGAGAACTCTCTTTTGTAGTTCCATCCCCTCAAAGGCTTACAATCCCCTTCATCCCCTTACAATCCCTTTGAGAGATTTGTGAGTGCCCAGGGAGACAAGAACCTGCACCGGCATCAACCTTGCAGCTCCACTTGCGCTTCACTTTCTACTTCATAGAGTCCTTTCCTGGTATTCTCCAGATTACAGTCTCCACCATCTCCAGTCAGCGTGGCCACTGAGAGTTGTAGTCCAACAAAGCTGGTGGTCACCAGGTTATCAGGACAACTAATGTCAAGCAAAGGCCCATTCAGATAAAATTACAAATTCCTCTCTTAGGCCAAGTGGGCTGATTCCCATGCTCAGGTAGTTGCTAGTAGCTTCCTTATGGCTGCCTACCTGCCCACCTGGAGTTAGAGCCAGATTTATGAACTTTTAGAAAAGCAAGAGCATCTTGTTTTTCCTGGACTTCATCCAGACTTCATGACCCACCTTCTACTGATCCTCCTGGGATCCACCTGTCCCACTTGGAGAACATTCCGTCATAACTACTGCATTCATCTTTCAGTCCTGAAATAGCTTCACTAGCTTCTTTTGAAAACAAGATGTTCTTCTTCTCTATGCAACGTGGATTGTAATTTTATTCCTGAAAGACTCGTTCATAGTGCAGTCACAAACCAAGCATCTCTGCTGTTTCAAGCAGAAGTTTCCAGATTTTCCACAAGGGAGCACTGTAAGTTCTCCGAAAAGAGGGAATGCTTTGCAGTTGGAAATGTGGCTGCAGAGACTCAGGGAGGAATGATGGCAGAGTTTCGGGGCAGCATTCCCAATCAGATGCCCTCCAAACAGCTTAGATACAACTCCCAGCATCGCCTAGCCAGCTGCGCAGCCCATGGAGTCGCAGTCCAGTGCCAGAGGGCAGCAGATTGAGCAAGCCTGCCTTGAGATGATAGACGGCTTCTTTCTCTGCTAGCAAGACAGGATGGTTTTAGAGACCAAGTAATTCCTACCATTTGTATCCTTCAAAGACATGAGTAGATGTGAAAGGGAGAGAGAGTACTGCCCCATTTCTTCAAGGAACATCTGTTTGCTGGGAAGGCAGGTAGGCATCTCTGTGTGCTTCTGAATACCAGGTGCTGGAGATGGATGGCAGGGAATGGCACTTCCACCCATAGCTCACCTCTCAGTGTCAGATATTCCTGGAAGCAGAGCAGTCTTACTATCCCAGCCCTTCTGCACTGCACCGTCAGCAAGGCTCCTTGCTGGCCTTCATCAAGCCTTTATCATAACCCAGTACTGGAGAGGGAGACACTAGAGCAGTAGGCAACATGTTGACCTCAGGTTGTCCTGGACTCCCATCAACTCCAGCCAGCATGACCAGTGGTTAGGGTTATGGGAGCTGTAGTCCAAAACATGTTGGAATCCAGGCAGCCCACCCCTGCTCTAAAGAGAACCATCTGCGTTGGAGAAGTGGTTAAGCTGAAGCCACAGTACGTAAAAGATTCTGCAGTATTGGAAAGCTGCATGGACTCTTCTGTTCATCAAGGCACTGACTACAAACTTGAGGCCTAATGCGGAATGTCATCATCAGGTGACGGCCAGTCTCTTTTGATGGCATGTGTGGATATTTATTTATTTATTTATTTATTTATTTATTTATTTATTTATTTATTTATTTGGGGGACTTCTATGCCGCCCCATTTGCTGAAGCCTCGGGGCGGCTCTTATTTATTTGTTTGTTTGTTTGTTTGTTTGGGGGACTTCTATGCCGCCCCATTTGCTGAAGCCTCGGGGCGGCTCACAACCATTTATCTGTGTCAGTTTACCTTGGCAGACGCAGGCCTGCTGCATTCTTCCCCAGGGAGCATGGAGACCTCTCCCTCCAGAGCCCTTGCATGCTTTGTCAGCCAATTTATCCTCCCACTCCCTTCCTGGTATATGTACCTGACTGGTGTAGTGATTATGTTTTGGAAAGCAGGAACGAGGGTGAGGCAACACACGGATGCATACAGAAATGTTCACAGCCTCCCCTGCTTCTTCCCAGTCACCAGGAGGGCCTCCCTTGCTACTCTTTTCTTTCATCTTTTCCGAGTAGCCATTGCTTCTCTCCCAGAGCATCCCAGTTTCCAGCAAATCAAATGCTCCTCTTTTCCATCTCTCTTTCCATGCCAGGTTAAATGCAAGTTGTAGTTAAACCAAACTTCTCACTCTTGTCTGTGTGAGCTTTGGGACAGCAGGGGAAAATGTTCCTCATCCTGAACTATTTCAGGAGTAGCAGTTGAACTTGTCTCAATATTTGGAGAACATACTGTGGACTTCTGCCAGGCTGCTTTTTGTCTGATTCTCTCCCCTGTTCCTCTCTCTCCCAGGTCTGGTGATGATTGGTGTCATCCTCAGTGCGAGAAAGGTGGGGATAAACCCAGATAATGTTGCCACTCCTATCGCTGCGAGCCTCGGAGACCTGATCACTCTCTCCCTGCTGGCTGGCATCAGCAGCACCCTCTTCAAATACATGGGTATGATACTGGGAGAAGCTGCAGAGATGGTATCTTCAAAACTGCCCAGACAAGTTTTTCTTAAGATAGTCAAGATGTTGGGCGGGAGACACACTGCTCAGTGGGAATGGGGGGGCCATCTGTTTTCAAGCTGAGGCTCAAATGCACATTTATTTTCCAGCTGTGTGTGCATTTGAAATGGACTCAAAATCACCTTGAAGCCCTTTTTGGCTCCCTTCCATTTTCCTTTTCAGCCTGCTTTTCAGCTCATTTGAAACAGAACAATCTGCATTTATGCGTGTATGTTTTCAGTATGTTTAAATTCATTGAGTAAACTGTGAACGTGTATATTTTTTTAAAAAATGCATATTTAAAAATAGATCTTTTCCAGACATGATAGTAAATTCAGGAATTTGGGAGCATCTCTTTAAAAGGGCTCCTGTACACGTTTGTGTTTGGGATTGTAAACAGGACATGTTTGCATTATCTGCAAACAGAATCAAAATCTCCTTGCCTGGTGAAAAGTGCAGGGGGAACCTTCAGTTGCTCTGAAGCAGCTAATTCACAGAACTTGGCGCAGGGGAATCCATCTCAAGAATCAGCTCTAGGGACCTGAAAATACTCAGACCGATGGCTAGAACAAGCAACTTGGTCTCACAACTCCTGTGCTCCAGGGACTGTGCAAGTGATCTAGATTGGGTGGGGAACCTGTGGTCCTCCAGATCTTTTGTGACTCTAATTCCCATCAGTCTCATCAGCATACAGTGGTCAGGGATTGGGGGGTGGGGTTGTAACCTAGCAACACAAGAAGAGCCATGCTGGGTCAAACAGCTGGACAATTGGGGAAGAGCTGATGTTGTCCTCATCTACAAGGGGGAAAAGCCCAGCCAGAGAACTGTAGACCAGTCAGTCTAACCTCATTCCCTGGGAAAATAGTGGAGCAAATTATTTAAAAAACCAGTCTGCAAGCACCTTGAGGAAAATGCAATGATGAACAGAAGCCTGAATTGATTTAAGAATAAGTCATACCAAGCTAACCTATTCCCATTTTTTGACTGGGTAACCTCCCAGATGGACAGTGGAAATGCTGTGAACATGATTTAGCTATATTTTAACAAAGAATTCAACAAAGTACCCCAGAACATCCTGATAAACTAGAAAAAAGAGGGCTTGACAGATTACTATTAGGTGTATCCTCAGCTGGCTACAAAATCAGTCAGAGAGAGAGCTCATCAATGGCAGCTTCTCAAGCTGGAGAGAGGTAATGAGTGGGGTGCCACAGGGCGCAGTCCTGGGACCAGAGCTCTTCTACATCTTCGTTAATGATCTAGATGAGGAAGTCCAGGGAATGATAATTAAATTTGCAGATTTCCACAAAACGGGTGGAATAGCTAACACCCCAGAAGACAACAAAAAGATCCGGGGTGTCCTAGACAAGCTAGAACACTGGGCAGAAAGCAGCAGAATGAAATTCCACAGGGACAAATGCCAAGTTCTCCACCTAGAGGGAAGAAACCAAGTGCATCCATACAAGATGGGGAATATGTGGCTCAACACCCCTGAAAAAGACCTTGAGTTGTTGCAGACAACAAGCTACACATGAGCCAGCAACATGCTGCAGTCACAAAAGGGGCAAATGCTATTTTGGGATGCATAAACAGAGTCATCACTTCCAAGACAAGAGAGGTACTAGTTCCCCTTTACTCAGCACTTGTCAGACCTCATCTGGAATTCTGCATTTGGTTCTGGGCTACCAGATTTTAAAAAGATGCAGAAAAACTAGAAAAGGTTCAGAGGAGGGCAACTAAGATGGTCCAGGGTCTGGAAACTAAGCCCTATGATGAGAGGCTGAGAGAGCTGGGCATGTTCAGCCTTGAGAAGAGTGCAGGGAGATATGATAACATTCTACAAGTACCTCAGAGGCAGTCACAAAGAGGAAGGAAAGACTTCTTTCTACTCATCCCCGAGTGCTGAACACGGAACAGCAGATTTAAACTGCAGCACACCAGATTCAGGCTAGGCATCAGGAAAAACTTCGGCACTGTCAGAGCAATACGACAGTGGAACCAGCTGCCAGGAGAGGTGGTGGGCTCTCCCACACCAGACACAATCAAGTTGAAACTGGACAGTCACCTGAGTGGGATGGTGTGACTTGGCGTCCTGCACCTGCTGGGGATTGGACCGGATGGCCTCCTTGACTTCTTCCGACCCTACTATTTTATCATTCTATGCAAACAAGGGCTCATTTGGTCCAGTATTCTGTTCACATCACGGCCAGCCAGCTGCCCACAAGAATCTCACAATCAGGACATGATGCAACAGTTCCCTCCTGCTCATTCTCCCCACTGTCTCTGGACCTGGAGGAAACACGTACCTGGAGGGCCCCCTGATCTAGACTCCAGGCCATTCCTGTGCCCAAAGCAGGCTGGCTAGATAGAAGTAGAGCTTCCTGTGCCTTATGAGTTGTTAGGACAAGGGGATTTTGGCAGGTTTGGGCAGAGGGGTGCAGGGGGAAGCTGCACCTTGGCCAACTTTCCTCTCCTCCCAAGTGCTATTAAAGGTACAGGAGCCCAGGCCTCTTTGCTTTGGATTCTGTATGGCAGAATAACTGGTATCCAAATTATGCCTTGTCTTTTGCTTCCTCCACATGGAAGCTTCCAATCTAAGAAATAATTTGCCTGCATGATTGAAGTGACGTGTTACAAGCCAGTGCAAAAGTCACTTTTTATGAGGCAGGTTTAATCTGATGCACATCTTCACTGAAGCTTGGAAATTGTGAAGAAAATTATCCCAGTGATGACCTAAAAGAGCTTGGGAATGGAACTAGATTTTGGCTTGCATTTTATTTTCAATCTCTTAAGCATGTTTCCCTTGGAGATAAATAGCAATAGCAGTCCAAGCAAAAGTGGCAAATTAAGAGCAGATCATGCAGACTGTTGACTGGTTTTCTGCATTCTGCTAATTTCCTGAGACAGCAAACTTGCCACATCCCTGTCAGGCAGGGTGACATCATTTTACCTTTCCAGTTCTTCTGTTTTTCACATCAGAAACCAACGAACCTGATGTGGTATAGTAGAGATGATACTTGAATAGGACCAGGGAAACTCAGGTGTGAAGGTGATGATGGTGGGCCCTTCATTTTTTCCAACCTTACAGGGCTGTTGTGAGGGAAATAGGGAGCAGGCTGAGTTCTTGTGCAGTAGACTTATGTATTATGTGAAAATGTAAAATAATGAAGGCGAAAGATCAAGGATTTCCCTGGGACTCTAATAATGCAGGAGAGGGTGTCCTACTTGTGGTGTAAAAAGTAGCATCTGGTGAATCCCCAAGCAATCCCTATTCCCTGTTAGAGTCTGACGCTGGACGCCTAAATAATTCTGGCCCTCTGTGAGCAAAGAAACTGCTGGTGTTGATCTGGATCAAACGTTTCCCTTTCCTGACCTCCAGGTACTAAATCAAGCTGAGAGCAAAGAGACATTCATCTCCTCCTGATGTTGCCATTGTGTTGACAGCACACTCCCCACCCTGCATCACCTGAGGTGCGATTGTGCAGGCTGCTGCAGTTCCATCCTGCCTCCCCCAGAGGAGGCCGTATTCCTTTTTTGGTTGACATCCTTGTGATTAATGCCACTTTTGTGACTCGAGGCTTTGATAACTTCAGACTTCTAGCCCAAGGCTTCTGCAGCATCTTCTCTGGAAGGAGAAAGAAATAAATGAAAGGCACATTTCAAGAATGCGTCATCTGCCCCATTACCTGCAAAATGTGTCGTGACTGGCCCAGCTTTGGTCTCCTTACAAAGAGCAGATGGAAAGCCCTCTGAGAAAGATTGCTTGGCATATCAAAAGGCCTGGCACCCTCCCCATTGCTCAAAGGTGTTTCTGAAGCTTGCTTCCTTCTGCTTCTGACTCATCCTTGTTTTCACTTAGCACAGCATTCTCTCTCCCTCTTTTCTAAAGTTCCCAGTCCTTCTAGGAGTCAATTCAAGGTTATAGATTTTCAGAAAGAAGGAAGGAAGGAAGGAAGGAAGGAAGGAAGGAAGGAAGGAAGGAAGGAAGGAAGGGGAAGGGGAAGGGGAGGAAGGAAGGAAGGAAGGAAGGAAGGAAGGAAGGAAGGAAGGAAGGAAGAAAAGAACAGAAGGCACTTGTTCATGCTAAGGGGAAATGGGATCCCTTTAGTTCCCTTGACATGGCCTCAAATACAGTCTGGATCCTTTGATGGCTGGAACCACACAACATGAGACAAAAGAGCAATCCTCATTCCAGAAAGGATTAAATTATTTATATTACTACAGTCAATATCACAAAGTAAAAGAAAGAGAATGGCCATAATGCAATTTAACAGTAACACTGTTGACACTTACAGACTATTGTATATGCTAGATAAATTCTAGATTCCTTCAGGCTAGATCTAGACCAGGGATGGGGAAACTTCATAAATTAATATAAACATTAAAAATCCAATATAAATTATATTAAAATTTCAATAAAACATATATAAAAATCTGTTGTTAGGGCTCCACATCTGTAAAAGTCATTTTCCAATGGTTCGATTATCATTCAGATTGAAAATCCCACAAAGAGACATTTATGAAGCCCAGATCACTCCTCCTAAAACCCTTTTTTAAATTCCAGAATAGGTCAAGATGGGTAAGAAAACTTATGTGTGCTGAAATATCCAGACAGTGTCAGGAATGCTTGGCCATCAAGGTCCTCTCCCTGGACTGACCCCGATTTTACAGGAGGGGCCTGGAGGCAGTTTTCTGGCCTCACTTCCTGCCTTGCCTAATGGCTGTAGTCGAGGTGAAGGAGGCCATCACATTTTCCTTAGTTGCTCTCTGGAGATGTTCCAACATGAACCCCAGGGTTGCCTTTTTTCAACACTACTGCTTAGTTAGGAGTTATTGGTTATTGAAAGAGGCTCTAGTTTTGTTATGGGCAACTAATCTACTGTTTCCTCCAGCACAGAAACCTTGGGCGTTCAGCTCGTTGCTCTCCTCTGTCCCGCTTTTCAAACATGAGACTGTGTGCATTCCTCTTTTTGCAGCCCCTTGGCTTCCTTCAGTTGTATCAAGTTTCCTCTCCACCAATTAATAAGCTGCTTTTAGATGCTGGGCCCTTGACGATCACACAATTACCGCTCAGATGGAGTAATGAGCTTGTCCCATTATCCCCTAAGAGCATGCTCTGTTCATTTACAGTTTTTTAATTTTCCACCTTCAGGTAATTCTACTTTAGCCAACTCTCTCTTGCCAGCCTGATAAAGGAGCTTCTATTTAAAGATTAGTTGCAAATCCGATTAATATACTCTGGGGTGTTATTTGTATAAAAATGGAGCAAGAAAACATACTGACCCTAATCCTAGTAAAGTTGGTCATGCTTAAGTGCCATTGAAAACATTGGGCCAGAAAGACCACCTTTTACCACATGAATCCATGCATTTGGGATAACAGATAGCTAACGGTGGTCTTTTTGGCCTTATTCAGCTCTGTTGCTTTATAGCTGCCTGTGCTATAATCGAATTGGCTACTTTGGGGTAAAATCTTAGGCATGTTTAGCCAGAAAAACTGACTTATAACTCCTGTCATTCCCCAAGCTGTGCGGGGCCTAATGGAGTTACAGGACTTTTTTCTGGCTAAATATGCATAGGATTTCACCTTTATGCTTCTATATGCCTTGCCATCATATTGATGCTTGCACTGACCGCATAGATCCTCCTGAATGGAAAAGAATATGAATCTTGTAGTGAATACAGTCCATTCATTCTGGGCTAAATCCAGCCTCCTGGAGTGCTTGGTCTGGCCCCCAGGTTTCCCTGGACTGCTGTGCCCCCTTTCCTCCAATGGTTTGACGGCCTCACAGCTTTTGTGCAGTCGTTTCCCCATCTGAAAGTCTGGAATGCCGTGCCCAGTGCTTGCTCATGGCCCCCAAGAGTTGCTCTGACTTGGGATCCAGCCCTCAGGCTGAGAAAGGCTGAGCACCTCTGTCTTCGGCACTTCCCTCCTGCCTCGATCTACCGCAAGAGTTGTTCTTGCTGAAGTCCAGCATCTTCCATTCTAGCACCCAGTACGTCTTCCATATCGTCTGTGCCTGCTAGTTGGTAGCAGATGCTGGTGATGCAAGAAAGGGGCCCATATGGTACCATTCTGAGAGCAAGCAGGCTTGGGGACTCATCATTCCAGTTGTCCTTTCATCTGAGAAAGTGGGATGCTCTGGTCCTCAACGTGGGAACACGATGATTATTCCTACATTTATAGCCTGCCTTTTTTCCTATTGCAAGGAACCAAGGATGGCTTATGCAGTTTTCTGCCCTCTCTCCGTTTTATCTTCACAACAACCCCAACAAGTAGGACAGGTTGAGTGTCAGCAACTGTCCCAATGAGCTTCATGACTGAGTGGTGACTAGAACCTGGATCCCCTGGGTCCCGCTGTGCTGTGCCACACCAGATCTTGCCTTCTGTAGTCTCACGGAGTTGAAGGTTCATTGTCAAACTGCGTTCTCCTTTTCCTCGGCAGATATGCACTACCTTTCACCCTTGATCTGTGCCACCTTCATCCTTATGATTCCTCTGTGGATAGCGATTGCCAGACAGAGCCCTCCCATTGCTGAAGTCTTGAAGTCTGGATGGCAACCAGTCATCATCGCAATGGCCATTAGCAGGTGATTCCCTTTGCATGGGGTGGTGCACCCTCCAGGGGAGATTTGGATGGCGGGCGGGGGGGGGAGGCCACAAGAGGAGCCGTGATGCTCGGTCCAACCCAATGTGTGTGCGTGCAAGTTTATGACAGGCACACACGGAGAGAGACGCACATAAGTATATGATTCTCTTGCACCTGGCAACATCAGGTTTGTGTGCATGCCTATCACGGCCGGTGGTTTTACTTGTTCTTTATTTTACTCTGAGAGCACCCTCCAAAGTCTCAGTTCTTACTGTACTGAAATTTGGTCTGATGAAATATATTCAAGCTTTTAAATGTCCTCCAGCTTTTTAAACTTCATTTCATTTTAAAGATCCACTTCATAAAAGCAGGCAACGGATTTAATCCCTCCAGAATATTTTGAGCCCTTGAATAAACAGGGCCCCTGGAATAATTGAAGCAGATGGCTGTGTATATTCCACATCACTGAAAATAAGAGGCTGTGAAACAGAATCGCAGCCGTGTTTGTTCTGTCATCCTTGTGAAATGTTTCCAGTGTTCCTCAAGTGCTCAATCCCTTGCCCATGCACACCACATCTTGCTGCACCTCAGGTTGCAGCGCTGGCTGCTGACGTGAATGGCTTCCGAAAGGGACTGGCCACGTTTGTAGAGAAGGCAGCTGCCCAAGACTACTAGCCACAGCGGCTAGCTGTTCGCTCCAGCAGCATCGGCGGTGGCAGCATGCCCTCGGTACCAGTTCCTTGTGGTACCTGTGAGGGTGCACCTGCCTCCATGTCCTTCTGGTGGACTTTGAATGGGCGTCTGCTTGGCCACTGTGGGGACAGACTGTTGGACCAGACAAGTCCTTGGGCTGATCCAATCAAGCTCTTCTTTTATTTTGTTCTCAGTATTAAATCCCTCTCAATATGCAATTTCACGTATTTCCCTTCCAATTTTCCCTCTCTGGGGACAGAACTGAACTCTTGGCTTGCTTGGTAAATCTGCCTGCACCGGTGATGCCAGAATTTCCATTTACAATACAGGTCGGAATGAGAAGCAGATATGATTGCAGATAGACTTGTGAGCAGAAGAGACTGGAACTTAGCGATGCTTTCAGTGCGTTGGCAAAAAGGACGAATGGATGGGCAATAAGCTTACACTGTAAATGCTTGTTTTCTTTTCTGAAACAGCCTTGGGGGGCTTATCTTGGACAAAACCATCACGAACCCAAACTTTGAAGGCATGGCTGTTTTCACCCCCGTGATCAATGGTAGGCTGATCTTTCTTTTTTCTTTGGACTTCCATGTTCATAGAGGAGTTTGGAGGCTACAAATGAGATATGTTTTCTCCCTCCTTGCTGAGGACTCAGGAAGGGATCCCCATTTTGTAGGTCATTTTGTAAGGGAAATGAGCCCTGATTCAAAAAGCTGTGGCATGTAATTCAGCCGTTGAGGGTTCAAGAAATTGGCAGATTTAATCATTAGGTCTCTTCCCAATGTCTTTCATTTGCCATGGGGAGGGAGGGGGGCGTCGCTCAATGCTTTGTATGCAGAAGGGCCCAGGTCAGGGCCCTCTTCTCTCACAAGGCCTGGAGAGCTGCTGCCAGAGAGGAGCACGATACTAAGTGGGCCACCTTTCTGTTCCTAAAAGGACGATTCCCAACAGAAAACTGCACATTCCTGAACAATTGTGTACAGGCTCTGGAAATGGGCACGAGCAACTCCAAGTGTCACTGCACATGGGATTTCTGGTGTTTTAAACTGTGGCACACTGTGCACTGGTTTGTACATATGGCTGGCCCATGGTTTATTTATCCTATGCTCAACCCAAGGATTGTTGCCCTACTCAGGTTAGTCTGGCAGATGATCCAAGAAACCACCCTTTATTTTTTCAGTTGCAGGGTTGTGTCCCTCCTTTGTCCACTTCCAACTTTTGCCTCAAATACCTTTGCTGCACTGTAGTTCTCGCATGTAGAGTGCGTGGGTTTTTTAAGCATTCCTGTCTACCTTCTTTAACCTGTTGAAACAACACACAAGCAACTCGCCATTCTGGTTTGATACATAATGAGAACCCATGATTTAACTAACTCAAGAGTTTAAGACACAAGAGCAGACCTCGGGTTCTCTTTCTGGATAGTTCATGATTAAGAAACCATGGTACGTTAGCATGGTTGTGTTCACACATCACAATAGCTCAGAATTCAGCCATCCATGGAATTAAACAAACCATGGACTAGCATTATATGCAAACTAGTCAGGATCTCAAAATGTAGGGATTAAACAAAAAAGGTTGATGCAAATAATTGTGGGTATAAGGTATGATTTTTTTAAAAGTAAATAAATATGTACACACATACATACAAGAATAAAGACTTAACCCCGTTTTAGCTTAGCACCCACATAAAGAGAACATCCCAAAGATGCTTAATAGAGGCTTCTCTCCACCCATGTTGACGTGGTCAACACAAGGGAGCACTTAAAGGAACGCGGGAGCCACGTATATGTCATGCAGTAACATCCATAGAGCTAATTTGTTGGTTGCATGTGAGAGGCGATTCCTCTGCTTGGCCAAAAATAAATCATGTTTAGAAGACTGCAACTGCCTCCTACGTGTGCCCAACATGGACAGAGCTGATTCCGCCTGTGTTGCCTTCATCTTTAAAATTTGGTAATAATGAAAGAGTCTCCCAGCTTTGTTTATTTCTGAGAAACAGAATTGAAAGCAGCTGTTGGATCTGCAGCGAAGGGCCTAAGCCCAAGCCTTCCTGGAGAAGAGATCCGTTCTTGCCAGAGGTTATATGGCAGCTAATTTATGTCAGGGATAGAAGAAGACTAATGCTGTTATCAGATGCCAAAACAGAGGCGTTCACTGGGGGACCTCTTTGCTCTGTCCTGTTATGAGACTTCTCATGCTCTTCAGCAGTGTTCCAAAAAGTGGTGCAGTGTAATGCAAATGTGGTGGGAAGGGAGATTGAAGTAGGCCCAAAGCAAGAAAGAATGCCTGGGGCTGCTATAGGCATGCGTGCGAGAAAGGCCGAGAGATGTGTTCAGCACACAAGTAGAAGTGGTGTAAGTGAGAGTGTGGTCTTAAGATTAGTTCTTTCAGGGAGTGTGGGACCTGCCTGCGGCTGTCCTAGAAGATCACTCAGAAGGTTGCTGCCCAAATCATAACCGGTGCCAAGGACTGGGACCATGTGCCCTCTTCACTGAATCATCTCACTCGTTGTGCAGTGACCTCTTTCCTCCCAGTGGTCCCTGGACAAAGCCATCAGAAGCCTCGCCATTCTTGGCTCCAAAGGCTAATGTCTGTGTGTTTTGCGCTTGGGCTTTGCAGGGGTCGGTGGCAATTTGGTGGCCATCCAAGCTAGTCGCATCTCCACATTTCTGCACTTCTGGAGCATGCCTGGAGTCCTGCCACACAAGCTGAGGCAGCACTGGCCTAATCCATGCACCACCTTCTTCACTTCAGGTAGGAAACTGCTCTTGGGCACTGGCCTTGGTCATTCTTACATTTAAATACCAGCTAGGCAGCACTTTACTGAATAGAGTTTGGGGACTGGCCTTCCCACAGGGGAGGAGTATTGATGAAGGACAGGGCTAAACAAGAAGTTACAGTGAGAAATCCATATGAAACCTGTATGTTTTTCTCCAGCAACTGAAGGACACAATACAATTTCAAACTAATAGCACTCATTCTCTTGGGTGTGAATTCTTATGGAGCCAAAATGTTGCTATTTGTGAAGTACAAGAGAGAAGAATCTGCAGGCTTAAGGAAACTCCAAAGACTGCAGAAGTACGAAGAGTCTTTAGGACAAAAGCAAAACCGAGCTCAGCAATATGGCAGGCTTAAGGAGGGGGAAAGCCCCCAGGCAGGCCCGTGACAATGGGCGTGTGCAACGGGGATGGCGTGTTTCAGGACGAAATGAAAAAATGGGGCAGAGGGGTGGGCAGGGGCATCCTGCACTGGAGTGCTTCGTGCTGCGCCATTCAGGTGCATGTTGCACTTGTAAATAAATAAGCATCCTTCTGTTGGCTTCCGGGGGGTTAGGACAACGCAAGTGAAATCCAAATCCCATCCCATCTGTGCCTCCCTTTTTTCGTTTGTTTTATTGCAAAAGCATCTCCTCAGATGCTTAATTAAGCACAGATCAGTGTTGGCTAATTTTTGCAAGGGGAGAGAAGCCCCAGTTAGCTCTCACACACGGACACAGACACACACACACCAGGGTGGGTGGCAGGGAAGGAATTTCATGCGTGGTGGTCTAAAGCAGGTGACGGGGTGGATGTGACTCTCTTCCTGTCCTCTTCAGAAAGAGTTCCTCCGGGAGAACATAATTCCAAGTCCACATGGTTGGGAATGCATCGTAAAAGTTGGTTTCCATGCAACCTTCTCTGCTGGCGTGTGTGTGTAGAGAGGGTAGCCATTTGCTTGAGCTATAACATCATAGTCCCATATCTGGACTTGTGCTTCTTTGCAAAAGCTCCTTTCTCAGATCCTTTCCGAATTTTAGCGGAGATGGGCCATTTGAGGAATGGTGCAAAGAAAGCTCAAGGAGCGTTCACAAACAGGAATGCGTCCGAGTGATCTTAATCCTTCAAGATAAGGAAGACATCTGGGCTTTGAAGCCTGCAGATGTCATCTTGGGCCTTTGAGTAGCAGCATGGGTGAGACCTGTACAGTGCTTATCGGAACGGTAAGAATGCCATTTTCCTCGGACAGTGAGCTCCAGAATGCCATGATTCACGTGTCACTTTCAGCTGTGTCTGTCCGTCTATGTATTTTCATGAACAATGGGATGATCTGGGCATCCACAGATTTTAGCCGCAGCAACTTCCACAGTCTTAAAAGTTGATATGATCAAAATCCACAGTGTCCCGGCTCAGGCCTGGTTCTGGCTTTGACAGAGTCCTTGGCAAAGTGCCCTCTGGGTTGCCCTGTCACCCTTTGGTGTGCCCAGGCAGCCTTACTTGACAGAGGCCTCCAGGTAGGTTCAGTCACCATTTTAAATTCCCACAGTTCCCCAGAGCTGCATCAGAGTCACTGTGAGAAAGTTTAAAACCTGATGCCAAACTCAGTCATGCGAACCTCCTCACTTTAGTGGATGGATGCATGAAGGAAGAATGCTCTTTAAACCAGGGCAAGAATTAGCTGTTAAATGCTTCACACATAATATATTTTCCCTTGGATAACCAAGCAAGATTATTTGTCACTCTGATTGACTTACCAGAATTAACTATGAAGTTAATTAAGTTAAGGAAGTTATGTGACTGAACATGGAGAGGTACAGCAGGTGGCGGTAGCCTTTGTGGTTGCATCTCAATGTATCGAGAGAAGCTCATGTAGAGCAAAAGCGTCCCTCAGCCCCCCGTGCTGCACCTGGTTTTGATGCTTCCAGTCCCGACAGCTTGTATAGGGCAGCTTTCCATGTAAGGAAAGGCCTCATGGGAAACTGCTCCAAGTGGCCATGATGATCCAGGGGTCCTCTACAAGGCCCTGACCCAGGCACCCTACGGGAAGTGGCTGAGTAAGTCACTCGGCCGACCCCCTGAACCCCGCAGATTCCCATGCCCTCCTGTCCCAGGACGACGCCCGAAGACTCGTGACCTTAGCCAGACTGAGCTACTGCCACTCCCCTGCAGCGGCCGAGTGACGGAGCGCAGCAAGACTCTTCTCTGTCCCTTCAAATGTGCCGGGCTGCATCTCTCAACTCTGATGGGATTTGCACTCCAGTTATCAAAGGTAGCACCTGGGCAACCACAAGACAACACAGATTAAGATTTATTGACACAGCTACTAATTGATGGAAAATGACTTCCAGAAAACATAATCCTTCAGTGCAGATAAGAAGTCATAGCTCCAATGCCCTCATGTGCTTCCCAGTTCAACAGCTGCCCCCCATAGCCCCTCCTCCCTCTCCCTCTCTACTTGTCTCTCCCCTTTCTTCCCTCACTTCCCTCCCTGTCGCTTTCCATCTCCGCTTCTGTCACTCACTGACTCCCCCGCCTGTCACACGCCCTCACCCTGCCCACCTTTCCCTCTTGCACCCCACCTGTCGCTCCTGCCTCTCATTCCTTCTGTTAGAGCATTCTGTATTCAGCAGCAGGTCCTTCGGACGCCTTGCAACCTCCCAGGATTTAATTGGCAGCCAAAGTCACTAAACATGTAATTGCCACCCATCGATGCTGGGGCATTTCGAGACGACTCGTGTCTTGCTCCCGCCAGCGTGCACCACGGTGACTCTGTCATCCTTGCTTTTCATCCTCTGCAGGGGTAAATTCAAAGTCCGCTCGCGTCCTCATCCTGCTGGTGGTGCCAGGACACCTGCTGTTCCTCTGCACCATTCATCTCCTTCAGGGTGGCCACACAGTCCTCACCTTCACTTTTGTGGCATTTTACCTGATGGCTGCTCTCATGCAGGTAACCAGAAGCTGATTCTTCCGTGGGAAATGGGTCTCTGGGACGTGATCAGCCACTGGTCGGAGCGGTGCCGGTGTTGTGCCATTATTTCTACCAACATGGGGCCACCATTCCGATGCCGGTCTCATTCGGCTTTCTGAACTGGCAACATTCACTTGCAGTCTTAATACTTTTATACATATTTCAAATGAAAGCTGATGCAGAGCTGTAAAACGCTACAGAACATTGCCTTTTCCACCTGGAACACAAGATCCATTTCATCCTCTGCAGGGCACCATCAGTCCTTTCTCCTATGTCATAAAAAACACAGTTGATTACCTTACTTTGGCTATAATATTTTTAGCGCTGAGCCAAATGGTGGTGGTGGTGTTTTTGTTTCAGTGTTAATGGAGCTTCGAACTGAAGAGAGGTTGGGGGTGGGGTGCAAGGTTTCCTGGTCTCCCTCCACATCGCTTTTCTTCGATGCTGGTGGAGGCTGCACTGGTCCCCAGCGTTGTGGGGGCTGCTGGCCACCGTCTTCCCCCTTCCTCTGCTCCCAGCAGCAACCGGAGCTGCACCCTCAGGCCGCCTTCAGGGTTTGTTGCACCGTCCAGACGGGTTGAAGGCAGCACTTTCTGTCCTCAGTCCGGCTGCCTTTAATTGCAGCAGAGAGAGAGAGAGAGAGAGAGTGTGTGTGTGTGTGTGCGCGCGCGCGCACACGTGCGTGCACTGGGGACGGATGAGGGTGGCGGCCAAAATGCTGGGGAGCCTCAGAATCGCAGGTTCATCCATTTGCCCTCCTTCTCTCTCGCACACACACGCACCCGGTCACCGAAATGAACCCCCTCCACGCTCGCTGCCCTGTCGTCCGCAAATGCCCCGCGGCTGTTTTGCACGCTGGTGATGCCGTGCCTTTCTTTGCTCCTAGGTGGGGATCCTGCTGTACATGGCTGACCTTATCGTGCGGCTGATGTGGAGAAAGGGCCTGGATCCTGACAATTATTCCATCCCCTACCTCACTGCTCTGGGGGACCTCCTGGGCACGGGGTTCCTGGCACTCTGCTTCCACTTTGTTTGGCTGCTCAACGGGTTGAAATTGAAGGCAGGCAACTGAAGCTGGCAGCTGCTTCAACCTCGACCCACCTGCTGCTCTGACAAGCAAACTCACTATGGTGCTTTTGACACGGTCCAACAGGGTACTGAAAGGACATCCAGTTCCTTAAACTGGAATGGATTGGATAGCCCTCCCCTTTGATCTCAACACTGCATTGCTGTGAAGTTTGAAAGATAGCTATCGATGAAACCACATCCACACGGGCTGCAGCTTTTGAAGTGTCCACAGTGCAAGGGGTTGCAAAACACTCTGCTCCGTGTTGCCTTTCCATTGGTTAGGAAGTGTTATTGCCACAGCCTGATCTGAAAAGAGTCCATTGGTGTTAATGGGAGGTTATTCACTGATCCCAGTGGGGTTTAGATTATGTCCTAGATGAGGATGTTGCACTGTCTCTGCCAGGCATCTGCTGGCAATCAAAGAATGCATTTTATTGTCTGTCTGTCTTCTATATGCCCCCACGGAGAAGGAGAGGGAGAGAATTATGTCCAGAGCTATTCACACTGTATACCAAAAACATCTGTGAACAAGGGAAACCAAAACTTCGCACTACAATAGCGTATATTCTGCTTCATGATGTCTCATGCAGGGTACTGGCATGGAGAGCAATTCATGTGCTTTGTATTAAGATTCTCAGCCCTCAATTGCTTATCCTTAATTTGTGGGGTTGGGGGTTTAGTTTGGTTTGGTTTGGTTTTGTTTGCAGAATTCTCAAACTGTTGAGATAGCAACCATTTTGTAGTAGCAGAAATGAAGTGTACATTAGGAATGGGTGGAAGGACAAGGGAATGCTATTGGAAGCCAAGGAGGAAACATAGAAGAGGCAAAACTGGATTTTCTGGCTAGTCTGTCATTGGCCACTTGCATGTTTGCAAACATATTTACCCATTTGTAAAACCTTGGAAAAGCAGAGTGCCATGTCGTGTGTGTGATGGAGGGGAAAGAGCAAAGCAAGTATCTCCTTTGTCCTGTTCCTCACCATCTCTGACTGATCCACAATAGGAATTCCCCACCACCGCCTCCTGCCCTGAGATAGCCAAACTGACCCTGCACCAGTGCTTACACACGCCTCCCTGGTGTGGCAGTGAAATGGCAACACTCTACTCTGAACAGAACTGATGCAGAGAAAGATCTGAGTGCTGTGCAGGAAGGCTAAGTTGACTGTGGCCTTCGTCAGCCTCGCCATCACCCCATGCCAGCACCCTGTTCAAAGCCACGTGCAGAATACGAGCGTGTTTGCGCTTGAACACCCAGTGATAATGACCAGCCCCAATTGCGGGCATCATGAACGCTTCCTTTAAAATGAAGACAATCAGCTTAATACAGCAAATACTGAAATTTTAGCCAGCGCTAAGGACGGGTTTTCCCTATTCCTGATGCCACTCGGTGTCCATCGGAACGATGTGCAGGGAAGAGCGGATCTGCCCTGCTTTCAGAATTCCACACCAGGGGAAGCCCATGCCATGGCCTTCCCTGCTCTCTGGGGAGCAAGGGGATCTGCTGAGGCTCTTCCTGGCACAGAGAGGGAGCTTTGCTTAAGGGGGCCCCATGCAGGGAAAGACCAGGGAGATCCGAGTTTCCCTTTCCACCATGCCCTCGGCTTCGGGGTCAAGGTGGGCTGAACTTTCTTTCTCTCCCTCATGTTTTGTTTTACAGTTTCAAATAGGATGACTGTTTGTATGGTTTACAGAAACATACACCCACAAAATAAAATGTAAAAATTGTTAGCACTTCTACAGTTTTGTGTCCTTGCCCTATATTAGTGAGATAATCAAGACTTGGCACACAGCATTTTATGTTATCTTATCACTTTTGTTTCTCAATAAAAGATCAAGAAAGGTAAGACTCCGTCTCATTCAGGCACATCAGCAGCTTGAGGTGAGGGAGGTGTCCCTTCCTAAAAAGGCGTATAATTTTGGCTCCCACATTTTTAATCTTGTCATCAAAGAAATGGCAAGATTGCTTTGGAGCAGAAGAGGCACAATGAAAATACACAAGTAAACCCCTTGTGTATATATTTGAAAGCCTTGTAAATGTTTTGTTTGGGGTGTGGTTTTTACTGGCCCTTCCCAAAGACTCGGTAAGGAGCAACCTGCAGTCAGACTACATCTTGGGTTGGATCCAGCTTTGACATCTGCAGCTTGGCCAACAGAAGCAGACTTTCTTGCCCCATCCTTCCCTCCACAGTCTCTCCAGACCTCTGACGAGGCTCCAAAGTGGCTTTGGGTCCCTTTGGAGTAAGATGAGCTGTGCTGTATGTGGCGTGGCTGAAAGTAAAGTGGAAGCAGCTCCCATGAGGAAGGCCCTTCCCGTCATGGAGGGCAGATCCTGCATCCAGCACCTACAGCTGAAACACAGATGAAATGGATGCAAAGCCAGAGTTGAGATGAGTGCAGTGCAAAGGCTGGCATGTTGGGAAGGGGCAGAGGAAGCAGTCAGTACCTCTAATGGGATGTTTACAGTCCAGCACTACAGTGGTGTAATACCAGTGTAGCTGTCATGACTCCTTCCAAGGAATCCTGGGAGTTGCTCTGTGGGGAAAGAATGCTGGGAGTTCTCTTCCTAGGCTCCTTCAGAGTACTTCCCTGGAAGAGAGAATGGCTGCTGAAGCGGTGGCTGTGGGGGGGGGGGGGGGCCTGGAGAAGCCGGAACTCTTCTAGGAATTTCCAGGATTCCTGAAATGGCACTGCCATCAGGCACGGCATGTTAATTTGGGGGAGGGAGGGAGGAACCTTCCAGATGTCAGAAACCCTCAGCTGAAGCATCCCACAAGTCTACCACAATCTCTCCTGTGAACACTTGACTTCTTCCCCATCTTACTGCCATAACAAATATCCTGAATGACTATATTAGGCTAGAAAATCTCTGTGTGTTTTTTTTTTCTTTCTTTCATGGTCAAACATCTGCATATAGTTGAGGATGGAAGCAGAACTGCCTGGTTCCAGCTGCATTTAAATGCAAAAACGTGTGTTGCAACTCCCATGATCCACTTCGGAAGAACAATTCCTACTATAAACAAGTGGAAAGTGGCTACTCCAATGAAGTCAAATGGGGCAGTGGGGGAGCTTGGTAAATTGCACAGTCTTTCCGAGAATAATTTTACTGCATATTGTAAAATACAAATACATCTTGATAAATACAATAACATGTTACAATTCCAATAGAAAAAATGTCTTAATACTCAACAAATTCTTTTTAAAATAATTCCAGGACAGTTAATATCAATACATACGTGCTTTATTGTGCCATCTGATCTTTAAATCCTACAATTGATTTGATTTGTGTTTGCCAATATCCAAGTTGTATTTCTGACTTGTAAACACTAAGAATTCAATAGCTGGTCCAGATTTAGTCAAACTTAGAAGCCCCATTTAAATAAACAGGACAAATAAGTCATGGCTGACTAAAGTCTCACCAATTCCAGTGGATCCACTCCAAATATGACAAAATTTGGATCCAACTGTTAATCAAAACGAGTTAGGAACTGAATGTTTGGTGAGGGAGAGAAAGCGGTGTTTGTACAGCTGACCCAGGAGGAGGACTGGTGGCACAGTGTGCCTGGACAGCTGCCCGAGAGCCCTGTGCAGACTGGCGGGGCCCAACAGGCCCACTTGTGGGATTCTGTCTTTTTGACAGCGTTGCGGGAACTTCAAGGCCTGCTTTTAATTACACTAGTCCCATCTGTTGCGACTGACACAGCCCTTTCCTCTGGAATCCTAACAAGAAATTGTCCTCTTTGTAATGGACAAAACTGAGAGTTTTCTTCTCATCCAAACCTACTGCAGGGTTTGTCTCTGGCTTGGGCACAGGACAGGGACATGTCCAAGAGGAAATTCGTTCATTTGAATGGCGCACAGGCAGGGAACAACTAGTGCAAAACATAACGTGACACATATCTGAAAGCAACTCAGAGAGTGCCCTGCTTTAGGCCCAGCTTGGCCACTGTGTTAAGCTGCAGGTTTCTATCAAGAAAAGGATCTTGTGTGAAAGCTTTGTGCTTCTATACAAGGCACAAGATTTGGTTGAACCCCCATTCAGCAAACAGCTTGGCTTTGAGACCAGTTTCACTTCAACCAGTTCAACTTGCTCTTCAGCTTGGATCCAAATCTGAATTTCAGTTTGGAAAACCAAATCTTCACACCTCCCACTGACTCTCATTAAAAACCAATGTCTCTGGATCCAACTCCCTGGGGGCTACAGTAGTGTGGGCCAACGTAGCAGCATCTACCTTAAAAATAAATATTTCCCCAGCGTTCACTTTAATACATGGCATCAACTCTGAGCAAGTAGAAATTATTAATTAATGCTGGTTGTTGGCCTATTTATGTAAAGTAGGCAAGACTTTACTTTTATTTATGTAAAATAGGCAAGATATATGTGATTTTTAAATGTCTATGAGCGTTTCTACAATATTGTCTACATCTGCTTTTAGTTTCATCAAAGAACTGAGATCCAAGCACTGTTTCATTTCCTGTTCTTCTGCTACATAACCTGTAGGTGTCACTGTAGCACAGTGCAATACCACCAATGTACAAGAGGAAATGACTCTTTCTTTCACAATCACAGGCTGCATTTTTCCCTGACCTGAAAAACCTTGCTGAGAGGGCTAGTTTTGAAAATTGAGTGGCATTACTTCATCTACAGAACCCCTCAACAGCCATGAGCAGAGAATGACAAGAGCATAATAAATGCCTTGTGTAGAAAAGTCCTTTGTCAAGGTGTGCAATGTTGCTAGTGTTGAATAACATTCTCTGGAACTCAAGTTGAAAATGTCTGATGGATTGTCAAGTTGCAGGACATCTTTGCTATGTATAATAAGGGCAACAAAGATTTCAGGCATACACTAACTTCACGAATATGATGTAAGAAAAGGAAATGGTTTCAATAAAAAGGGATTTTAAGGTACATATTAAAGATTGTTCAGTAGGCCCTGTCTACTTTTTATCAGAGTATATTGCCAAAGGGACCAGATGGTTTAATTCCTATAATCCACTGAGAATCTTGAAAAACACCCAATCAATCAACTGGTGAAGACATGGGAATGGTTTATGCATGAATGCAGACTGGGACTGCCTTCAGATTAAGCTACATCCCAAATTAAATCTGATTCAGGCAGATTTGGGAAATGTCCAGACTGAAGTGGACCCCCTCTGAGCAGACCAAATCAGAGACTCAACACTGCTGAAGAGACAGGATTCACACAGACACTGGGAGACAGACAATGCTTCTCCAAAACTGCATTTCTCACCAACCTGCCCATGTAAGGAGGGATGGGGAGAGGGGAAAATGTTTCTAATCACCATGAATGGTTTTATCAGGACTGTATGCCACACATATATCATCCACCCTATCATACTGCACTTTCTATGACTTGTCTTTATCAATTGAGCAAAAGACAGCAAAATCTTAAACTGTCTTTCATTCATTGGAACTTCCTAGCTTGGGGTAGGCAACATGGTCCCCGGATACAATTCTTGGTGGCCGCACAAGTCTCTGGATCCTTCCACCTTCTTTGCTGAGAATAAGGCGGACACGGGAATGGGGAGAAAGGAAAAAGCAGATGGACAATGGGAGAACTTGTGTGTAAATGGGTGAGAGAGGGAGAGGGAAGAGCGAGGGAACAGATGGGGTAATGAGTTGGCTGACAGAAGGGGAGAAAAAAGTGTTTTCTATAGAATGGGTTTCTCTGTGTCAATGTATCCAAATAAGTTTTAAAGCTTTCGATTCAGGTTCCCTGGAGGTTACTCTTCCTTTATGATGTGTCCAGGACAGTGCCTCAAATCGCCAGGTGCTCCCGCAGCCCCAAGGCTGCCTTCCTTGGTCCAGCCCCTGCACCTCTCCTAACATTCTGAATGGTTCTGATCTGTAACCCTCTGTGATATATATTATTTATATTCAAGTGATCAAGAAACAACAAGCACGATCACTTGCCACTCCCCCCACCCCCGGAAGTTTAACGATGTTCTCCCACAAAACACACTGTACCTAACCTTCTGAAATTTCACAGGTCTCTTAACTAGGACCATGCCTATGTTGTGCTGTGTGCATGACTGCCCTTCCTACCCCGCTCCCAAAAGGTAGGGAAATATGTACATTTTTTCAAACCCACCAAACTGTAAAGGCTGTTGAGCTCCCTGCACCTATTCATCTGAAACAAGGCAGGTTTGATCCCCTCAAAAGGGGCAGGAATCCCTGCACATTTCGTCTAGTTCTGCACAGAAATTAAAATATTATTGGAAGTTGGTTTTTGTAAGAATAATAATTTGAAGGTGTGTAGAACACAATCCCCCAGCACCTATTTTCCTGAGTTTTGAAAGGCATCATCTCCTTATAAGGGACCACTTGGACTGTAGATTTCTTCTAATTCTGGCCCAAAAGAGAGGCATTGATTTTTAATGAAAGTCAGCGGGAGGCATGAAGATTTGGTTTTCCAAACTGAGATTCAAAGTTGGACCCAAGTTTTAGAGGCAAGTTGAACTTGTCAAAGTGAAACTGGTCTCAGAGCCAAACTGTTTGCTGAATGGGGGTTAAATCCACGAATAGATTAATTCCAGTGTAAAATCTCTTTTCTAGATGCTGCAAAAATCCAGGTGATCCACCACATCCCATCTTCCCAGTATCTCTTGTGATCATTAATGTGATTGCTGGTCTCACATGTGCATGTTTTGCTGATAGTTTGCGCCACTTCATGGTCTCTGCAGTCCAGGTGGGGAAATTCCACAGCGCAGGTTAGGGAGACCAAACCTTCCACGGGCCTGCCATAGTACAACTGGGATCAAACAGTGAGAGGCATTATTTGGGAATTCCTCCTTTTTTCCTGGGGATTTCCCTTTTTCTTTATAG